TTTATTTTGCGTATGTACCAAAAAAATAAAAAATAAATATATTTTGATTTTTATTAAAGCATATGTTTTTTATGAGGGGTACACATATGTCAAAAGTTTGGGAAACACTGGGGTATGCTATTAAATAGGAGAAACAGTTTCAGGCGGGCAATAATAGTTTCTTTCACATGAAATCACATGAAACAATGTCAAAGATCAAGGATATTTTGGGGATAATTTAGGGCTGTTATATTTAGCCAACAAATATTCAGTTGAACACTAGACAGCAGCAAAGAGATATTTTAGCATTAGCTTTTCTGCTCTCGAGTGGTTTCCTGACTTTTGCATCCAGTTGTGGTAGCCATAACTAGAAATGCAAACGAGTTTAGCAGTTCTCATCAGACAATAGAATTTCGTGCTGGGATGGCTGTCCCTTTCAAGGGTTGCATATATCCAGAAATGGGTGAAAATCTAGTGTGTATGGAGTGCTCACTCTGCAAAATGCTGAAAAATGATTGTATAAGAATCTGATTCTGCAATTTCGGAGAAATTTGATGGCCTTGACAAACATATAAATTGGCTCTTAGAAGTCTAGATCAATTTCTTCTCTTGTTTTTAGTTTCATGTATATGAAGTGTTCTTTTTTTTTTTAACCAATAAATGCCCATTATTACTGGTACGAGATGGGTGGATGGACAGTCAACCCTGGCCCAAAGTTTTTTTTTAACTATGATTTTGTGAAAGTGGGTACAACTAAGTGGCACTAACAGCATCCTATTGTAACATCTGCATTGCTGCTTAATTAGTTAATTACTCATTTGTTCAATGGCCTTTCTCTCTCATCTGTGCAGGTTAATCACCCACAATTGTGATGCCTTTCTTCCTCTCAGTATAAGTTACTTACAAAGTTATTTCTGCATTTACGAAGTATCTTGGAAGTCAAGTGTCTTCATCATGCTTTTTAGTGTAGACAATCAGTCTTTCTGCCTGGCAATTTTAATTTGGTTATCCTTGTAAGAATTTGATTTCCATTGTGTGCACTTCTACTATTACCTGCCTATGTTCTAGAATACTGATTTGACAGTTACGTGGATGTGTGCATGCACTATATCAATGTTAACTCTGTTCTTACCAACTCAATGCCCCAGTTTTATAGTACAGTAGTCCTGTGACAAACATGGATAGGGTCCTACGAAAGGCAAAACACATTAATCTGTGATTAATTTAGCTATGGCTCATTCAGTTGATCCATATGCTTGGGTTCACACAACATATTAAACAGTTAATCTCATGAGTTGGTTTTATGTAACATGTACATCTAAAATATGGTTGGCTAATTTGCAACTCAGTGTGTTTTATGAGAATCTTGGTAAAATAGCCAAAGTGTTTGCGCCTGTATTTTAAGATGGAGTGAAGGAAGAGATGCTTGGGCAAGGGAATCTTTTTCATTCCTTGTAACACAGTCACAAAAATAAGGAACTTCGTTTGACATGTTGGCTATCTCTCTTGAAATAATCAAGCTAGTGAGTATAACATGTATCAGTTTGTAGGAAAGGTAGGAAGACTCTGGATACTGATGAAATGTATTGTTGAAAAGGACATGAAGGAACAATGAAGTGTACCAATGTAACTGTGGATCTGAGGGAAATGGATTAACATCTTTGTTCAGTTATGAAACTCACTAAGTGATCTTGGGTCAACCTCCTGGCCTACTCGTATTTCCTGTTGCAAGAGAGAAAATGTGATAAATGTATTTCTGTATTTCAAGGAATTTAGTAATATATGCTAGCCATACCTGTACCAGAGGTGCAGATTGGGCAACAATGAGCACAATAATATTTCCAAAGGCCACAGTTAACAACCATCCAGCTTGCAGCACAGATTTCATACTAACAGGAGCCTGAAAAGGAGAAGGCATAAAACATTCTTAATTTTTTGGAAAATTGATGTTCAATATTCCCATTCAGTACTACCCTGGGACTAGCCCACCTCCTTTGTCAAAGAGGAACACATTGTGGTTCTGAGCCTGTGGCCCTTTCAGCATTCAATAATTCCTGCAGTCAAATATACCAGTGGATTCAGTGGGGGAACAATTGCCATTCTGGAACATTGTTAGCTGATCTGTTCATACTAACCAGGAGAATGATGGCTCACTTATACAGCATATCCTTGAACATCACTGTTTGGTGCTACACTTATTGAGGGATGAAGATATGTGGGTAAATTCATTTCAAATCATTATCAGAATATGGCAACCTGAGAAGATGGGGATTTGGGGACTCAAAATATTGTTTCTCTCTCCTCTGTTCACCTAAGCAGTATTCCCCTACTTATGTCCAATGAGGATTCTATTTATAATTTCATAGGAATTGGAACAAAAGTCTTTGAAAATACGTGAAATTTAAAAAAAAATCCTAGAATTGGGGAAATCTCATATAGTCTCTGAATCAATGTTTCATCTTGCTTTTTCATTGTCCCAGGGTAAAACTGGATGTCTAAGATAAATTGTTTTAATGTTTTACGGTTACTTTATTTTATTTATTGCTGGAATCCAGATTGCTAAATTGTTATGTAAATAAGCTGATTTCTGCTTGCCAGAGAATTGCAGTGTGTACATTCTTCTAATGATCAAGTACATCAAAACAGGCCCAACTTTTGGCTTAGCTATCCCAGCACTATTCAGACTAACAGCAGCTTTCAGGGGTCTCAGGCGGAGTTGGTTTGTTTCTCTCATCTCCTGACTCATTTTTAAAATGGTTGGAGATACCTGGATCAAATATGGGATAGGTAAAGCTTTTACTCTGCCCCTGCCTCTTTTCCCCTGACATCTGTGCAAACTGATCCACAAGTATGTCAGCACAATGAAACATTGTGACTAAGGGAACATTTGAGAGAAAGAGCACATGGCCCAACAAAAACCTGCTCCCAATTATCTTTCCTGCCATGTGGTTATAAGCCTTGCATATTACTAAATTTTTAAGTTGAAAGGATTAGTGAGGATTACTTAGCATAACACAGATTAGTTTTTCCAATTGTGTAATAAATGGTAAATCATCTATTGTGACAGTTGCTAATATTTCTCCTGATTCCTGGAAGATACAAGGTTATCCCAAGAGGCCATTGTTCCTATTGGACTTGAAATTTCCATCTGTTTGACCTCATTTATACTTCAGAATATAATTTGCCATTTTTGAACCAGATCTTGGTTTATTTATTCAAATGTTCATCTTTTATGATCTGTAGAAAGAATATCACCTCCTCCTCTTCTTTTTTAAACAATACCTTATTTGGATATCAAACTGAGCACCAGCAAATTACCATGTTTGCACACAATTAATGCTGCTTTATAAAGCCACTCCTCACTGGTAAGTTTGTCATTCAGAAAAATAGTGCTTAAGCAATCCACATGACTGAGAGAGATGCTGCAAAGATCACCTCATCTCATTCAGATCAAGTTTTCTTGTGCAGTCATGCCAATATTACTTTTACTCCAGCATGCTTTTTTGTCAGTCATAAAAAATTCGGGCTTAAGCACATTTACACCCATTTGGGCACAGAAAATTAGTCAGAAAATTATTTTTTGCAACTGTTTATTACCATTTATTACCTTTGTATCCACAAATGGTCGCTAACTGAAGTAGTTACTAAATGGCTGTATTGTGTATTGTGGCTATATTGTGCTTAGGGGCAAGATAAATTGAAAGGATAGCCCTGAGAAAAAAAAATAACTAAGAGGACTAGAAAAAAGATAAAGTGAATATTGGCAGAAGTCTAGCTGGAAGAAAATGAAGGCCTAAACTGTAACATCTAAGAAAAAATCTACTCTATTAAAAAGAAACACAGATACGTAAATGTCGTGACCCGTCAAAAGCGCGGAGGACAAAATCGCGCTCGACGAAAGCGCGCATGTGACGTCATCACAGCGCGACGGAAAAAATTAAAAATTGAAATAAAATTAAAATTAAAGCAAGCCGATTCACATAAAGGTAAGGGTTAGGTTTAGGGTTAGGGTTAGGGTTAGGTTAAGGGTTAGGGTCAGGTTTACAGCGTTAGCGTTAGGTTTAGCGTTAGGTTAAGGGTTAGCGTTAGGTTTAGCGTTACGTTAACGGTTAGGTTTAGGGTTAGATTTAGGGTTAGGTTAAGGGTTAGGTTTAGGTTTAGGTTTAGGGTTAGGTTTGGGGGGGTTAGGGTAAGGTTTTAGCTTTATTTTTACATTTTTCGATCACAGCGCAATGTTTTCGTCGTGCTGTGATGACGTCAAATGCGCGCTTTCGTCGAGCGCAATTTTGTCCTCCGCGATTTTGTGGTGGAACCGTTTTAGACTAAAAATAAATTGCAGATAGGCTTAGGCTGGTGCTTCCACAATACATTTAACATGGTTAAGTATATTGAATGAATAGGACCAATTTCTAACCTCGGGGTCACAACTGTGTTTTATGAAATGTTTTTCATATATACAATTAACTTCAAATCCTTTGTTTTTAGAAGTATGAAATAAAATATCATTTTTAGCATTAAATTTGTTGGAGGTATCCTTAGAGCATGTAACATGCTATACTATTTATAATTAAGCATCTCCAGTTGCGCTGATGAAGACATCAGCAAAAAGCAGATTGATTGACTGCTTCCTCCACCTCATAAGATGCTGGCAGAGTCACCAGATGGCTGGCCCAGGGATTCTCTGCCCCAACCTTCAATAAAGAGCGAACATCTGATGAGGGCAGTCTTGTTCACAGAAAGAAATATTGGACAGAGACGTGAGCATTATGATTCCTAGATCAGTGCTTCTGATTCTTGGCAGTTATAAAAGGCGGCTGGGGAATTCTGGGAGTTGAAGTCCACTCAGCTTCAAGTTGCTAAAGTTGAGAAACACTGTCCTAAGCCATAATCTCAGGCATACTTATATACTGATTACCAAGATTAAATGGGGTCTGGACTGAGGTGCAAACTGCACTGACCTTGCCATTTAATCTCTTTGGATTTGGTTTTGGCAGATAACCTTTTGCAACCTTCCATCTTGGCCTCTTATTTACTAAGGACTATTATTTATTCAGGATGTCTTCTTTGTATGAAGTCCTAAGAACTGTACCTGGGAGTAAGAAAAAGCAAGGCCTGTAATGGAGAACATCACTTCCCCAGCTGATATTAACAGATACTGTGGAATCTGCCATGAAATATGGACATTGTTAGCTGGAATATCTTCTATCTTCCATGCTTGGAGTGTCTCTGTAGAAGTCTGATTGGGAGGAAAAATAGACATGTTGGTGATGGATTAGCAAGTCCAAGTTAATGCAGAAGTTAGAATACAGTGGGGAAAAGCTTTCATTCTTAAAATTATAGCAGGGCTGTCCTCTTGGGCCCATTTAAGAATTATGAACTTACTGATTGGACTGAAATAAAGTCATTATTTCAAATGTCAAATAAAGCATTAGCAAACTCTATTTTTACCGGCAAAATGTGGCCCTGTTTATGAGATGTCCTTAATCACCATATAGGGAGAGACAACAAAGTTTCTCTTAAAAGCTAAAAGAGGTGAACAGTAATTGCATTACTCATTGGGCTGTGGAAAAATGTCAGGAATCTTTTCCAAAGAAATTTGGAGCTGGCAAAAAGATTGGTCATTTGAAGTAACACTTCTAATCATTCACATTCTATGGGTTATCCAAACTGCTACACCATTATGCATCATTCTGCTTCCTTCTGCATACTTCATAAAGTACAATAGATCTACAGCTGAGTGCAATTAATTATAGCAGGCAGCTTTGGACAAAATCAGTGATTTTGTAAATGATAAGAATAGATATATAATGAAATGAAATATTACCAGGAGAAAATTAAAAATGGGCCAAATCGGATAGCATCAGTGGCAGTGTTTTACCATCCTGAGATATGCTAATGAACTCTTGGTTAATCACAGTCTTGTAATCTAGATTCCCCTTTCCTCTGGGTGTAATGCAGATAACTTTACAAAAAGTAATATGCAATTACTTAAAAGTTCTTAAATTTTTGCCCAATCCAGAATATGATTATTTGCAGGTAAAGTTGTTTCAATATCTAACACAAATAGTTACTATGAATGCATAATGAACACACCAGAATAGGATACGTTTTCTCTCAGATGTCCTATTATCCTTTATCATTGATAGAAGTTAGAATCCAACAACCTTTTATAGGTCACATGTGTATAATATGTGTTCCCACTGCAGCTTCTGTAAAGTATTAGAAACCTAATGCCCAACAAGGGAACAATTTCTGTATGAAATATCTAATTTTTGCAATTTGAGAGATCTATTTCTCTATATGAAAGACAAGCTTTTAGAGCTTCAGAGCTTAGGGGAAATAAAAGTGAGTGAATTGAGTTTATTGGAGAAGGCGTTCTTTATAGAAAGTGTATAGAGAAATATTTCTCCCTCTTGCATAATACTAGCTTTCAGAAACCTGAAGTGAAATTGATTGACAGGAGAATCCAGCCAGTCCAAAAATATGTCTTCATTCAATTGATGCCTCAAGGCTGTATTGATCATCATTTGGCTTAGGTTTCTTTAGATGATTCAATAATGTTTCCTTGATGCTCTTGTTAGATACAAAATTCCACTGAACCCCAAGGTCATTTTTCAAAGTACAGATAGTCTTCATGTCAAGACTTTTCTTCAAGACTTTCTTTTAAAATTTTGATTAATTTCAATAGGGGGTTAATCAGTGGATTTACTTAGGAATCCATCAATAAGCTATCAACAATAGACCGCAGGGCTTGGTTCAAGTCTACTCGGAATATCTAAATAGCAATATTTAGCTGCTGCTTCTTGTGCCATATTCGTCATCGGACATTGGTGATCACATTGATGAACTTATTTTTATCAACAGCCGAATGAAAAAGTGCTGCTAAGTTTTGTCCAAACCAGTCCCTTAGATTTTGAAGTCATGATGTTCTTCTTCTGCCTGGATCTCATTTGTCTTCGATCTTTCCCTGGAGGAATAAGTGAAGGATGCCGTATTTTTCCGGGTATTGCATCACCTGTCCAAAATATTATAACTTTCACTTTTTAATTGTTTTGATTATTTGCCTTGGCTTTCCCAAGTGGCGTGTCACCTCCTTGTTTCTGATTTTGTCAACCTAGTTTATACGTGACAGCCACCTGTAAATCCACATTTCAAATGCTTCTAGAGCAGGATAGAAAAGATGTAACATCTGACAAACCTGATTTCCAAACTTAGACTCAAGTCATGACTGCAGAAGACCTTTTTCATTTTGAAGAATGCTGTTTGTGCTTTCTCTATCCTTCTCTTTATTTCAGTGTTCATGTCCCAACTTTCATGTAAATTAGAACCGAGGTAGGTGATCCTTTCAATTTTTTTCTAGTAGAATTCCTTCCAAAGTTATCGGTGGTAAATTAATGGGTTCTTTGCTGACCACCATGATCTTGGTTTTTGAGGTGTTAAGCTTCAAGCCGTAGATATTTGTGTGACTCTGTTGATGAGGATCTGAAGGTCTTCATGCTTACTGGCAAGCAGAACTGTATCATCAGCATATCTTAAATTGTTGATCTGAACACCATTTACTTTGATTCCAGCATCAATGTTTTCCAGTGCTTCATTGAAGATTAACTCAGAGTAGATATTGAACAACAGCGGAGACAGAATACATCCTTAACACACACACACACACACACACACACACACACACAAACACACACCTAAGCCATTGTGCTTCAATCCTGAGTGTATAGTCTTTATATAGAATGTCAGATTGCCTAATTTTATACATGATTTTGGTGGTTGCTTCTGTGGTCTTGGCAAATATTTATTGAAATAAAAGGTTCTGTTCGCCAAACCTCAATAGTAAATTTTATCAATAATGAATAAGTGTGCTAATAAATCACCGGGGCTGATTTTCAACTTAGAAGATGAGATTGACCAGACTCGAATTCTCTTCTGAGAAGTTGGAAGCAGTTTAGAAGGCTTTAGAGGACAAATAATAAAACATCAAATATTTATTAAAAAATATAGACAGAAGACAATCTTTGTCAGGCCCACAAGATTTCGAGGAGGAAGTTTAATTTTTGCCAAGTAGCCTTTGCTCACCTTTCCCTCTTTTTTATAGTCATCTGTTTGAAGTCAGAATTGAGTTTTCTATTAAAAGAAAGACACTATTATATCTAGCCACCCATGTGTTTATCCAGTCATCTGTTCATCAAGCTGTTTATTTTTCCATAAACTGAAAGGTTTGTAACTCAATCTAGTGCATATTTATCCAGAAAATAATCCTCCTGTGCTGTGCTCAGTGGGTTTTGATCCCAGATAGACAAAGGATCCTAGCCTCAGTATCCCATTCCTTTTTCTAGTCCACATTATTCAGTTCAATCAACAAAGCAACTAAATGAATAAAAATGAATACCTTCCCTATTAATGGCAGGGAAAGTTTAGGCATAATGTAAATAAATTGATATTGTTCATGGTTGCTGCCAACTTTGGAAAGGCCCTGTTCAAGCTATCATCCAGGCCTTCCCAATGCTTGCTGTGGGGCCCATCCATTTGATCTTACAATGACACAGCACAAGAGGCAGAAATTGTCAGACGTCCAATGCTGAAAACGAAAAATGAAGGCAAAGCAATGCAGTAATGAATTTTCTCAGAATATTCTGAACATAACAGTGGGAGTGATCATTGTGATTTCTCTTGAGGGTGTTGAGCCATAAAATGAAATATTTAAAACAATAAGGCTGGAGCCAATGAATCTATACATTTGCTCATCTATGACAGATGATCTACTCGAACTGCATTTGATGCATTCTCAAGAAAATGTGCTTAGAATTTTATCCAAACTTTTAATGATGACAACAGGAGAATTATATGTATATTGCCTGTTTCACTCTGATTTCTGTGGGATTTAGAAGTTCCTAACTTTTGGTATATCAATTGTTGCATTTACGTAAAAATCTTTGGATAATGCTTGTAATATGAAGGTCTTATTTGTTTGCAGCCTAATCTTATCCCTATGGGGTTTTTTGGGGAGAAAACAAAATAGATTTATTTCAGTAGCTGACTCAATAGAAATAGAAAAGGCATATATATTCAAAAGACAACTTACTTGTGTTAGGACAACTGTGTATGAAGCTCCAAAATCTAGAAGGCCAAGCTTCAGGGCAGATATTTCTGCTCTCATTTGGAAATTTGCATTGTTGTACCTAATATAGAAAGGAAAAACAGTAGTTCCTGGTTAGCTTCTCCTAGGCAGAGCCATTAAAAATATCTTTAAGATGATGGGGAACAATGAATAATTGTTCAGTCTACAGTAAGTATGTACAAATTTCTTAGGAACCAGGTTATCGATCAAAATCTATTTTACACTGTACTCTAAATTGCCATTATTGTTTAACTATTTATTTCCTGGGATCCTGGTGACATAAAATTTGCAATTTGCAATTTTAATAGATTTGTATGCCGCCCAATCCCGAAGGACTCCAGGTGGCTTACATAAAAGCAATTAAAATATTAAAAAGATTAAAAACATAAAAATCCTCTATTTTCTAGTGTTATTCCAGCCCACTGGCTAGTCTACATACTGTATGGGACTGAAAGAAATTTTAATTCAACTTTGGAAGAGTAACAGGTCCCCTATCAATGTAGCAGAGTATTCAGCAGCTGGGTAGGTACATCAGTCACATATTCTCTCAGAAAAAGGAACAGAATCAGTGGTAGGTTACGACCGGTGGTGGGTTACGACCATAGCGGTGCCTGCCGGAGCACCAGGTACCATTCTGGTACAGTGCTCCAGAGGCCCACACGCCCGCTTGCGCTGCTTACCAGTATTTGAAATTTTTGGGGCTTCTGTGCATGCGCATGGAGCATACACCGCCTGCCCGACACTCCACCGAACAGCTGGAGCATCGCAGAGGTGTTGCAGAGCATTGCGGAGGGTAAGTATGCATGCACATGCGCGCGCGCGCGCTGCACACATTCATGTGGTGGACATCCGGCCCCATTGCACCATATCAGTTGCAATGGGATCCGGAACCCACCACTGAACAGAATGTAGTTCATTGTTTTGCAAGGAAGTGGTCCTAGGTTCAGATAGAGAGATTTCTGGTTAGTAGACCTAAATGGAGAGCAACAATGATAAATATTTGTTGTTTGTTTGTTTATTGGATTTATATAAATGACACTGGGCAATAGTTTTGAAGGACAATTGTAGCCTCTGCTGATATACTTTGTTTAGCAAACATCTGTGCATCTCTCCTAATGCTTCTCCCAGCACAATCTCTCTTGTTTTCCCTTTTCAGCTATAGAATGATTATAATGACAAACATAATCAGCTAGAAAATCTAGCCCTGTATCTTCCTGCAAAGAATAGAATACCCTACATCCTTTCCTGTACAGCCTAAACTTTTTCTTTTGATAGGGCAAATAGAAGCAGTAAATTGTAACCTAAAGTCTCTCCCCACACCCTCCCCGCCCAATCTTCATAATCTTTACCACTTGTGAATGAAAGACTAAATTATGTAAAGCAGTTGACATATTTGGAGGAAATCATGTGAGGAAAAATGATTCTAAATGAGACATGAAACTGCTGTTTTATTTGGAGGGCAGAACATTTCTCTAATACAGTGTACCTGGGCAGTGCTGACTTTATAGAGATTATTGTGTATTATTGAATAATTCTTTTAAATGAATATGTGTGGGGCTGAACTTATGAGGATCTCTTTCTGTCCTTTCTAACCATGCTGAATACTTTTGTGCAATGTAAGTGGTGGATATTCCATGTATCCATTGTTGATTAAGGAAGCCCATATATATTTGTGTGTGTGTGTGTGTGTGTGTGTGTGTGTGTATAAATACACACACACACACACACACACACACACATTCAGTGAGCTTCTGTAGTTGAGGATGGACTTGAACCTGGATGTCCTAAGGAAATTATGAGGTATAGGGTCCCTATCTATCTCACATGCCAGGATTAGGGTGGGGGATACCAGGGAAAAATATCCTCCTGGAAGATAGATGGTTACTATCTATCTTGAGTAATAACTAGCAAGCAATTTACTAAGTAGGAAAAAGGAGTCCAGATGCATAAAAACAAGAGGACTTTTGGGAAATGATGTTTGAGACTTCCCATTATCCACCCAATTATTTTATCCTTACCCAGCATTTATCAAGGTCAATGCACAAGTAAAAATAAGACTATTGCCTTGGTGGAGCAAGACCATCTATTACATGTACAGTTTCTCCCAGGACTCTCTTTCCCTAGCCATTCATTCATGAAGAGTTATAAAAATGAGTCTGAATATAAATAGATATGGTCAGACAGAACCAAAATAATTTTTCTAGCGTGGAAGCAAAATGGAGGACCATAAGCAAATAATCAAGGCTCACTGCTCTGTTTTTTGAGACATAACATACTGGAGGAGTTCTCCTTCAAAAGTGACACACTTTTGCAGGCAAAGAAATACACTCATATTTATACATTTCAGAAAGGAAATAATGCATGCATAAGTAATAACATAATAGATCTCAGGTTACTTCCTGTCCTTCTGTTATCTACGAAGAACAATGGTCTTAGATAGAAAAAAATAATTTGCATATAGAGATGCAATGGGAATGTTCTAATAAAACATTACAAGGAATCACTGTAAATTAGATTTTGCAAGGCCACATTATTTCTGTCTTAACTGTTCCATTCATCTGAAAATTGATCTCTCTCTCTCTCTCTCTCTCTCTCTCTCTCTCTCTCTCTCTCTATCTCTATCTCTATCTCTATCTCTATCTATCTATCTATCTATCTCTCTCTCTCTCTCACACACACACACACACACACACACACACTAGCAGGAATAGGGAACCTTTGGCTTCATGCAGGCCTTGGGTGAAATTAAAATTTTTCTGCAAGCAGTTAGACTTGTAGTAAGAACTATCTGTTCCTTTCCTACAGCATGATATTTGGGATATAGAAAAAAGGAAAGAAGGATGTCATCTCTTTTTCAGATAAGAAACCAAAACCATGAGTACTAATGCCACCTTTATTGTAAGGTTATAGTAACAGAATCTTGCAAGCCTGAAAGAACCTCTTCTCTCATGTGCCTTTACTTTCCAGACAACTAAGGAATGTTCCTTTGGAGATACTAGCTTCACCTCCATCCCTCCTTTGGATTCATTTCCTTTGGATTTCATTTCTCAGATTGATGTCTAGGCTGCTGACTTTCCTCCAGTCCCTCAAGGAATGATTATTCCCACAAACTTTTACTTTGCTTGAACTGCACTTCCAAGAAACAGCTCTTAAATAGAAATTTCCCCATTTCTGTTGTATATTAATTGAAGTCCAGGATACAATACCAGTCACAAAACAGAACTTTTATTAGAGTTGGGAAAAATTCATAGGAATTTTCATAGAATCCCACTATCAAGTAGCATTTTACAGGATATGAACAAGGAAGCAAGAAACACACAGACTTGAATAAGGAGATTTAATACAAGGATTAAGGGTAAGGGTAATCTTGGAAAGTGAAGTACAAACCCTCAGCCCTCTTAGAGAGTTCACTAAGGCACCAGTCTCTGAATCTTTTCTTTCCAGGCTTTTTGTAGCCTGGACTGAGCTCAGTGTTTATGATGTAAACTGTGAATGAACTCTTTTCCCTTTCATTGGTTTCAATGTCTATAATTTCTCTTATTCATTTCTTATCTCTCAGAATCTCTCACACTCACCTTCCCCTTGGCAGGATCCTATAATCTGAAACACCATAACTTTTGTTAACAGTGGTGAACTCCTCCTCATCAAGCGTGATGCCAACATCCCATTCCAAGGTATTAATGAACCTGTAAATAAACTTGATTTCATCATGACAGAAAAGGAATAAAGCAAAAGAAAGCATCCAATAGTTGGCCAGAAGCATGCAGTTAGAGAGGGCTTCATCTACACCTCCAGTTTTGAGAATTAAAATTGCTAACCAAAAGTCCACAAACTGATAAGTGTTTTCCTATCCTTATATAGGTATTATATAACCTTAAGATAATGCAGTATTATGCCCTTCCTTGGAAGAAAGTGAAAATTGTTTGTACTCTCATTTAAAAACATTCAGAAAAACATTAATTAAGAAAAAAACTATGGGTGGGGGAAGAGGGAGAGAGAGAGAAAGAGAGAGGGGGAGGAGGAGAGAGAGACAGGGAGGGGTAGAGAAGGGGAGAGGGAGAGAAAGAGAGAAGGAGGGGGAGAGAGAGAGAGAGAGAAAGACAGAGACAGAGAGACACATGATTCTCCTTTATGACTTTTCTCTAATCATTATGTAATTATTCTTTCCTAGTCATGAAATCAACATTTACTCTGTTAGAAAGGAGTTCCATTCTCCTGATTTTAAGAGTTACACTCAACACCAGAAGATTCAACTGGGATTAAAAAAACAACCCAAGAATCTTTTGAGGGGGCATGAATGAAAGATTAATCAATATATTAAGAACTCGCAACTACTCAACCTCTTGACAGAATTGGTGACTGGAAGCTCTTGTGGGCTTTTTGTGTAAAAATGAAAAAATCGACCTTGTTATATATGGTTTTGATGATTAGACAGAATAGATTATAGAAAGAAGACTAATATGATGTGACTTTGGAAAAGAGAGTTCAAAATATATCTGAACTTTGCTATGAAGAATATCAGAAGCTACTCCTTCATTTTGCTTTCTTTTCTATTTTTCTTCAACTTTTTTTCTATTCTTGCACTTTTTGATTTTTCTTTGACTCCTTTCTTTTTATTTTTCTCCCTTACTATTACTTAATAAATGTCTTATTTAACAACAGAAATTTTGGGCTCAATTGTGGTCATAAGTGGAGGACTACCTTTAACGAATGTATAACCCTAAGCCCTAAGCAGCTGATCCCTTTAAATTTAGTTTATTGAGGGAAGAGGGTTCCTATTAGTTCTGACTTATATTTTGCAGTAATAGCCACACTTGATAAAGTAACTTCCCCTAAATTATTGTCCTCTGGACCATATGGATTTGGGCTTCACATTCTGTAATTCCCCATCCAGTATGGCCAATGGATTATCAAACTTGAAACCCAACATATTGAGAAAGCACAGCATGGAGAAGGCATGGCAGAGATGCAATTAAATGATGTTGTTGCACTGACAGGCCATCAAAGTGCTCCGGTGTAATGCTCAGCCAATTCCCATGATCTTTGAGCAGAGAGGGGCTGCCAGAAAATTCTGCTTATGTCAGATTCCTCTCCAGTTCATAGGTTCTATTCCTTTTGCCAATTAAAGGATCATATATAGAGAGAGAACAGACCTGGAAAGAGAAGAGACCTCATAAATCAGATGTTGGTCAGTGTATGTTATAATGGAACGATGAGTCACTTGCTGGCAGAATTTAATGAAATTTCTCATCGCCTTCTCTTATGGATTCCAAATCTCCAAAGTGGGGTTAAGTACAAAGGCCTCAACCTAGTTGTTGAACCTTGTGTAAAATGGAATTCCTCCCTCCCCCTTTCTCTTTCTCCTTCCTTCTACAAGAAGAATGATGTTATCTTCTTTTTCCATATGAGTGAACAAGCATCAGCAAATGGGTAATGATAGCAAATTGTTGCTCTGCTCCTGCAAAAGGTATAGTTTATTATTATAATACAATTGTATCACAGCGGCCAGTTGTTTCGCCGGATTTGGCATTGGTT